TGTATTATGTATTATAAGATAACTGTTTGAAATCTCGCATTCTGCTTGTTTGGGAGTGTGTGCTTTATGAGAGCAMACAGCATGTTTGCRCAMTTTCAGTTGAGTCATTCCTATCCAAAATAASGATTATCGTAACTTGTATTTTATAAAAGAAATTAAAAAACTTGCWTGCTGTGCTGTGTGGAGTTATAAAGCACTTGGGGATTGGCAGAACACTCGAGAAGTGTGAGAAGMACTCCTACAGTTGTGCTTCTCCTACAGTAACACTTCTTTCGTGTTCTGCCAACCTTGACCTGCTTTATAGCTGCACACAGCACATGTGAGTGTTTTCTATTTCTTCACGAGCTATAAGTTACTACTACTGTATATGTTCCTYAATGTGAAAAGCACCTTATTAAGTGACAAGTTTATTTGCTTCCTAATGACAGAATCCAAGCCAGAATTGTACAGAGAATAAAAGAACTTGAAGGTCTCCCTGGAAATCTCCCTGATGACTTGAGACTTAAAGCCATGATAGAATTGCGTGCCCTAAGGCTTCTTAACGTACAGAAACAGGTTAGAACTGCTGCTTCCTATTATAAAATCATATACATGTAGTTTGGCTTAACGACAAACTCAGCTGTCAATCGAGGTTGACATTCAGTTGGCATTCCTAAAACAGTGTGGACACTTGAACCATGAACACTTTAAGGATTTTTTGACATTTTTCACAACTTTCCAATCACATTTCTTTGTAGAAACAAAGGAATCAGACATTTTTTAGGCACCATCCAATCACAACAACGACAATTGCCCTATTTCACTATGACGCCACTGCTTGTTTATGTGGGGGATAGAATCACCAAATCCAATAGAAAATTCAATAAAATTTGCTCCTAGCAAACCAGTTTAATCTAAAATGGCCTGGATTTCAGATATAATAGGTGTTAATATGTACTAAAAAATATTCTGAGCATTTGCTGGCTATTCTACTTTTCTTCGTGGATTGATACGGGATTTAGAACAATTTTCGGTGAATTTGCGTTGATTTGACCCCCTCCGATGACCATGATCCTTTGCATTTAAACAATAGATTGTTTTGATGTGACGTCATAGTAAAATAGGGCAATTGTATTATTCTTCGCTCACTCCGTGTGGACTAATGAACTGTTAAATGTAGTAGTATGCAAACTGTTAATATTGAAAAAGTCACGTCCCTTCTGACAAAAGTATTTAAACAAATATTTCAAAATGCTTAAGGTCTGTTAATAAGCTAGAATAGTTTATATTTCTTGTTAAATTGTTTTACAGTTAAGAAGTGAAGTTATAGCCTGTACAAGAAGGGATACCACTCTTGAGACAGCACTCAACTCAAAGGCTTACAAACGCAGCAAGAARCAATCTCTCAGAGAGGCTAGGTAAGATAAGTCTAAGTAAAATCAATAACGTAAGGTAACTGTTACTTTATCAATGAAAACCTGGGGTCTTTCTCTAACTTGAGTGCATCTCTGCTTYTTGTGTTTTCCAAACATCATGAAATAGGCTAAAAAATAAGGTGCAGTTTTTTTCAGGAAGTATGGGTGGTGTGCAACACCAATATGCTGCCTCTCACCACTAGACCTGGTTTCAGTTCCAGGGCATTGTTTCATATGTGAGCAGAGTGCCTAGTTAGATCTTTGCTTCGAGAGTATTTCTCTGGGTTTTCTGATTTTCCTACAGTGTACTTCATGAAAATAAACTACTAAATTCCAATTTGTTAATAACTTTTATCACCCTCTGGCTGGGCCCACTGAGTAATCACTCCTTGAAATTGGCCAAAAATAAATTTAAGAGTAGTGTTTAGATATTGGATGAAACACTCTTATAGGAGTTCGAATAAATAACTTCTCCAATTCATTGATATGTTCTACACAAAATAAAAGTAAAAWTAAAAACACATTTTCTAYAATCAGGATCACTGAGAAACTAGAAAAACAACAGAARATGGAACAGGAGAGGAAGCGTCGCCAGAAACACCAGGAGTACCTCAACATGATACTGCAACATGTGCGTGACTTCAAGGAGTATCACAGGTCTRTACAGTCCAAGGTTGTCAAACTGAACAAAGCTGTAATGAACTATCACTCTGTGACGGACAGAGAAAAGAAGAAGGAAGAAGAGAGAATAGAAAAGGAGAGAATGAGAAGACTCATGGTATGTTATAGCATTGTTAGAGCAGCTTAAAATTAAAGCCAATRAATACCATTYGCATCTGTKTGCCATTCTGCATRTAAAAACCTTTCAYRCGGTTKTGCRAAGGACTGATAGCACTWACTGATGGACAAGTCTTATYGAGTGGATAMATTTATTGGATAACAKTGTGRAGTTATCCAYTGGATAAGGATTTATCCATCAKATGGTGSTATCYMCCCTTGGTAYAACTGGGTYGAGAATGGTAACTTTTGACAGGTCTATGATTTCATGTTCATGCTCAAGCGTGAATGGCATTGGTTGGCTACTTGATTTTGCTATGTGTTGGCAATTTATCATTTTTTCTTTTTGTGGGATCAAGCACATCTCAATCGCACCATAGAAATGCAATGTTATGCTGTTAAAAATGCAGCTATTCAAACTCAAATGAATTGAAAAATAATTGCAGCTCACGCTCAAATGGAAATGGCAGTATGTAGTGACTAACATTTTTGGGCACTGTTTCTCTCCCTACACCACTATATAAACCCCTCCATCATTCTCTTTCTCTCATTGACTCTGACGAAGTACTAACATCCGAAACGTCAGTCTACTATCTTTCGTACCTACGGTGATAAAATTATCTACTACGACACATTTGTTTCTCTTTAAGGCTGAAGATGAAGAAGGTTATCGTAAACTTATTGACCACAAGAAAGATAAGCGTCTGCACTACCTTCTCAGTCAGACAGATGAATACATTGCTAGTCTCACGCAAATGGTACAACAGCACAAGAAGGATCACCGTAAGAAACAAAAGGGTAGAATAAGACGGAAATCAGATTTTGACGATGAAACTCCTGATGGYGATAGACGTGTAGCTGTAGTTGATACGGAGACCAATGTAGTACTGAAAGGAGATGAAGCACCCATTGCTGATGATCTGGAAGAATGGCTCTTGGCTCATCCTGGGTAAGCCTTGGTAGTAGTAATATGATTATTAATACATTGACTGAAACTTATGAAGGCAAAGAGTTCTTGATAGTTCTATTTTTCATGACGATGATAGTGATGATGATCATGGGATGACAATGACAAAGACAATGATGATGATGACGACGACAATGATCTTGGGATGATGATGACAAAGACAATGATCATGAGGATGATGATCAAGATGAAGTTGACAATGATGATGAAATTAATAAAATTAATAAATTATTGTAAGCTGCATGGCTGTTACATGTAATAGCAACTTACTAAACTATGCAGCCTGTAAAGCCCTCCACTGGTCATAATTATTGTAAGGTGTATTGAGACAATGTGAAATGTGCTATATAAGAACTCTTCCATTATGATGATAATAATGGTGATGATGATGGGGTTGATGTGATAATGGTGGTGTTGGCGACTAATGATAATGATGATAATGACGAGGATGATAAATGGCTGTGCCCAGGAAGAATCAAGATGATTGCAGTGTTAGGGCTGCTGATATTAATAATAATAATTAATTAAGAAATGATAATTATTTATTTAAACTTGATATCACTGAAAGTGTTCTGTCTCAGTTTAGAATGGTACTAACATTTCATTACCAAATAAAATAAGAACTTGAAATATAATAATATAATAACGAAATATAATGAACCTTTTATAGCTATGCTGTTGCACCCCGGCAAGAAGATGATTCAGCTGATGAGGACGAAGATGAAGAAGATGAAGACGATGAGGACGAATCTGGAACTGAAACCAGATGGGCATGGCAGAGACTCAGTGAAAAAGAGAAGAGAAGAGAGATGTATGGCAAGGATGACGTTGGGTAAGTATCAGTAATATATTACTAATGATAATAGTTTTAATCAGGGCTTGAAAATATAGAAAAAGGTACATACATGCAGACATTGTTAAAGAGACGACTAAAAGGAAATCAGTTAGAAACAACTAGTTGTCATTTTTTTTYCGCTTTTGGTACTTCAAACTTATTTTAGATTTGGACCTTATTTCGGGCATTAAGCCTGCTATTTTACATAGGAACATGTTGGCTGGAACAATAGATATTGTCTTCCTAGCCTTTTAGTGCTTCAGGATGTGTTATAATAATGATAATGATATTTATTCAGGATGACCATATCTCCATAGAGCTTTTCAAAGGGGCCTTGCTAATAATATCAATTAAAATACATGTGCTAAAATAAAATAGAGATAAAATAGTACAATTCAATTGAAAATTTAAATAAATAAACATCTAAAAATATATAAATTTAAAAAAATGTTTAAATGGGCAGAAACAAAGGATTTAATTATCATGGAAATAATCAAGGCTGCTGCATTACGAAGGTCTATTGCATTGATTATAATGTTGTTTGATGTTTATTAATGAATAGTGTGACGTCTGAAGCAGCACAAGAGGCCATCAATTACTATGGTATTGC